ATAGATTAATCAAGATTAGAAAATAGGATGCAGTTCTAAAATATCAGGTACCGCATTTACTTTTCCACAAGCAAAGAAAAGATCTGTGAGGTTGGATGAGCTGCAAGAATGCATTTTCTCTAAAACAAAAACAAGAACCTGAAGAATAGAAAAACAAAAACACATCCCACAAACCACTCTTTAATATTTTAATTTTTTTCCTGATTAGAGCAACCGTGCTTCATGCTCACAGTTATTCTGTGCAAAGCAAGCGATAAGAGACCATTATCTGCAATGCAGAACCTTTTCAGTCTTTCTTTCCTTTTTCTGTTTTTTTCCCCCATGAAAAGCGTCTCTTTCCAAGTCTCTGTTTGCAGGACAGTCCTCGATGCATGCTTGAGCACATTCAGTGGGCCGAGTGCACACGATAGGCTCATTTTGAGAACAAATCTAAAGATAAAAGCCCCTTGAATACAAGCAGTCAAGCTTGCTTATCATAGATCCCCACAGAACAACACGCCACTTAGATCGCTTTGTGCAGATGAAGACTCCTGAAGTCCTCATGTGTGTTTTTTCTTTCTGGTTCAGCAAATTTGAAGAAGTGTGCCTTCTGTATTTGGCATTAATGAGGATTTTGCTGTGCTTTGAAATTTGCTGTCATTCCATTTCCTGTGCACTCCTCTTTTTGAGACCAACTTGGCAATGACCAAGTCCTACCTACTCTGTCCTGCCTGGGTCATTAGAACTTGACTTCTTAATAGTGTTTTTCCTCTCACAAGGCTGTTGCCCATTTTTAAAAAATCCATTCTCTAAAACAGTTTCAGCGAGATATTTTAAGTACTCTTTACAAGAATACACTTGGAAATCTATTGGTTAAAAAAATTACCCAAGGGATGAAATATTAAAATGAGCTAGAGGTGTATTAGAATATTTCCTTCACAAAATATAGAGAAAAAAGTAGGGCTTCAGATTTAAGAATTCCTAGTACTTTGCATTGAAATTATTTCAAATCTAATAACTGTCACTAACAGCAACGGAAACATTATGTGTTGTAGAACCTGGATTTAGCCCAGGGAGCCATGAGCTCTTATTATTATTTTTTTCACTAGAAGACAGGGTCTCCGGAAGTTGATCAGGCAAATCTTTTTTTTTTTTTTTTTTTTTTTTTGGTCTTTTTTGTTTTTATCGGTACCAGGGATCGAACTCACGGCTGCCTGCTTGCAAGGCAGGCGCTTATGCCGCTGAGCTAAATCCCCAGCCCCTATCAGGCAAATCTTAAACCTGCCTCAGCTCCCCAAGTAGCATGTGCCCAGCACACCCAGCCACATTTAGTTTTCATGGATACGTTGCTCAGCAGAGAGTGGCTATCATGTTTTTCTCTTACATATTATTTTTTGGGCACACTTCTCATAGAAAGCTGTCTGTGTCTGTGACCTTGTATCATTTATTCTGAAATCCTTCATTTTGAAAACCTACCCATTTCCTGGAGGAAGAGTTTTTAAAGGTTAAATCACACCCCAAACACCAATTCAGATGGCTTCAGAGTAACACAGAGGTTAGCACTGGGAAAATAATGACTGAAGTTATTTGACATGTATTAAGTGAGCTGAAAAGTAGTATTTTGCACCTCGGTCATGGGACATAAATACTAAGCAAACATTATAAATAACTTTGACAGTGTTACTTTTACCAAGCCCAATCCATTTCCACTTTTCAGAAAGGAGATGTAGTTCACTGACAGAATGCTTGCCTTGCTTATGGAAGGCCCTGAGCTCGATCCCTAGCATTGCAAAAATGAATAATTTTGTTTTATTTTATCAGGAACTGAATTTTATTTAATGTTTTATATGTATCAAGCACCATTTTACACTATTTCATTTAATCCTCACATACGTGAAAAGATTATTTTCTTTAGTTTACTAACAGTGAGAGGGAAGCTCGAATGATTGAGTAATTTAACCAAGATTATTATCTGGTTAACGTAGAACAAAGAGCTGAATGCATCTTTGTCAAACATGCATTTATCCCCAGTACTCTTCTGTCTACACACAGTATCAATTTTGATTGCTTTTCCTGCCACCACATATTTTAATACTTTCCTGCCACCACATATTTTAAGCACTTTCATTTATCCAATCAGTTAGTCTGGCAGTCAGTAAGCATGTAAGCATTAGATGAGATCCTGAGAAGGATGACATGATCCTAATGTCAAAGCATCCATAGTCCAGTGGGGAATATAAATCAATAAACAAATTCAGTGTCCAGTGGGGAACATAGGTCAATACTGAATTCAGAGGCCAGAAAGATCAGTATCACAATAAAGAGATGCATTTGGTTTCATTAGAGTGGGGAATAGCCAGCATTTCCCTAGGGGTGGAAGGAGAGTCATCAGAAGATGACCTAGATTTAGAAGGTGACTTTAAAGACTATGAGAGGAGATGGAGTGGGGTCCAATGCACCTTCCAAAGCTGGGCTCAGTAAGCCTTCTGAGCCCCCTGCCTCTCCACCCCCCTCTCCTCTAACAGGCAGCTCTGGTGGTTCTTAAAGTGTGGCCCTAGATCTGCGAGAACATAGGAACTCAGAAATACAAGTGGCTACCTTCCCTCCAGACTCGCAGAGTGAGAAACTTGAGGAAGGGGCTCAGCTACCTGTTTGAAAAGAGCTTTCCAAGAGGTTCACTGGCTGCTAATGGATTCTGCTAATTTCTGTTCAGAATGGGATAGCACAAAAGTGAATGGCCCTGGGAGGGTGTCATGGTTTGTGTAAATGGCCCCAAGCATCATGCAATTATATGTTTGTGATTGGTTCATTGTCTAGCACTGTAATTGGTGGAGTGAGTGCTACACCCACCTAAGGGTGGAGCCAGGATATGATGTAATGGTGGGAAGAAGGTTTGACTCTCTCTCTTGCCTGTTTGTGCCTTGCTGTTTGCGGTGGCCATGAATGGCAGCCCGGCTATGCCACCTTGCCTTAGAGCCAGCTGAGTATGGACTGAAACCTCCAAGAAATGTAAGAAATAAACCTTTCCTTCCCTAACTTTGGGCATCAGGTACTTTGTCTCAACAAGTAAAAAGTAACTAAGACAGAGGTAAAGAGAACAAACACTTCTTAAGCACTGAGACTGTGTCAGAGGCTGGTAAGACTCCCCAAAGTCTTCACAGGACAAGCCGGGGTCCCCCAGCTCCATGGTGCTGGCTTTTGGCTCTTCTCTCCTCAGCTTACCCTCTAAGGACATCACAGTGACAAATGCCATTATTCTTGCAGTTTTGCCTGTCATTATTGCCATCACCTTTGCACACTGCTTCCTTAATTTTAATTGGCAGGACTGTGCTCAGAGGTCTCAGGGACCTGCTGGCTGTGTATTCACAGGCATCTTACACCACTGCCACTCTGGTCTCTTCTTTGGAATCCTCTCTTTGTCTCTATTGGCTGTGACCTCATGCCATTCTGCCAGAATGTGCTTCTCATTGCTGATCCTGAATCAGTCCTGCCTTCCTTTCTTCTTCTTTTCCTCCACTCTCACTTTCCTGTCCTCATCTTTCCACCCATCCGCCCCTGTCTGTTTACTATGGGCTGCCCATTGAGCACTTACTAAGTGCCAGCCCAGGTTTATGCTTTGCCTTCCTGGAGCCCACAGTCCAATAAGGCAGAATAGCCACAAGCAGGCAGCTAATCTAGTTATCACCTACTTTGAGTCGGCTGAAATAAATACACTGTGGGCTGTGTGGAGAATGATGGCAGAACCCTCCAGGAAAGGCCTCTCTGAGGCAATGATGGCAAGCTGAGGTCCCAGGATGACCAGTGGATGCAGGAGAGTGGGGTGACAGTGGGGTGACAATGGGCTGCCCGAGCAAGGCCTCACGGGAGGTCAGCGACTAATGAGCTGGTGGGGATTGGAGGGGGGCAGGGAGTAGGCAGGGGCTGATCAGGTGAAGCCAGGAGGGCCAGCTTCATGCTAAATGCTTGGGAAACCTTGACAGGATTCAAGTAGGGAAGGCCTAATCCAACCTGCACTTCATAGGAAGTGTGGAGTAGTCAGTGATCTTTGCAGCTATTTCTGCAGAAAAGATTAGAAAACAGGGAAACTTGTGGATTTAGCTTTCTGTTTCAATGTCTTGCTGGTATGAAGTCCACTTACTCTTGATATTTTTGCTTCCAGTCCAGGGGTGAGGTAGCATTCTTCAGCAGTCTGCAGCCACATCTCCAACAGAAGGGCTTGGGCACTGCTAAGGAGTGAGACCAACAGATCCGCAGTGCCGGGCTCACTGACTATGATTATGAGCATTAACGTCTGTGCTTGTTGTACCTATTTCACAGGTGAGGACACAGAGGTTAACGAACTTGCCCAATGTCACAGAACTGGTAGGACCAAAAAGAAGGAAGAGATTATCTCCAAATTAACACCCTCAGGTTTTGCTCGGTTTCCTTTTCCTCCTTTGGCCACGGTTCTCACCCTCAGCAGTGCTGGAGTCCTTCATTCTAGCCCTGCTCTAAAGCTGCCCAATCCTGGCAAGGGCCTGGTTCTCTCCAAAGCTTGTTTAGAAATGGGGATTGAGCCACTTTGTTAGCATTTCTGTTACCGGAAGTGAACGCCACTCTGATCTGGCTGTAAAGGGAGCCACACCCACTGGAGGTGAAGCTGGCAGCAAGTTCTCATCTCAGCTCAGCTTAGAAGGGCGGCCGGAGACAGTAGGAAGAGCACAAGGACAGGCTGCCTTCACCCAGCAGCAACCAAATAAGAAGAGACCTCCGGTTGCTCGCGCCTTTCATGGCTCCTTGAGAGATTGTTTGGGCTTCCTCTGTAAGATACAAGAAGCCTTCAGCAGCAAAACTAAATCACAACAAAACGATCCTTTGGTGTCATTTTATAATTCTGAAAAAAAGCTGGTGGTGTTTGGATTTCCGAACCCCACCGCACAAAAGGCAATTTTCCAAGTAGGGCTGGGCCACCCTAACTGTTGAATAGGAGAACTAATTAGCCTCCCTGGTGAACTATCTTGTCTTTTTTTAGGACCGGAAATCAAATGGGAAGGGTTCCCTCCAGTTCCAAGTGAGTTCCAGAGGCATTACTCAGGCTCCTTAACCTATGAGTCACACAGGAGTCTAGGAGAGTGTTTCCAAAACAGTCCGACAATAAGATAAACAAAGCAATTGATATGTGACAGTCCAGTGGCTGGGCTGCCATCCTCCAGGGCCAAGGGTTGGATCTAAAGCTGAAGGACAGTGAACCCGAACAGACTGGGTGTCCCCGAGGAATCGGGGATGGCCAGAGCTCTGCCGAACAACTTGGAACATTTCCTGAAAGTAAATGGCCACAAGGAGGTACGTGTTTAGAGCCCCTGTTCAATTTCCTCACCTTCCTTTGTGCAGTGATAGTGTCTCTCTCCCCAGGTGACTCGAGGAACTTGCTTGCCGCCACACTGCCCTTTCCCAAAGTGTGGCCAGCCATGCGCTTTGTCACGGAACAACACAGGATATTAATCATCTTGGCTCCCTGGGCCTGTTCCCGGGGTTCACTGTTGAGCCAGAAAAACAATTCCTAAGTGACAGAGGCTTTCCCCGAATGAAATATAGAGTAACGGAGGGAGCGAGCCTTGGGAAGTAGCCCAGCCACAAGCAGGTGCTCTGCTGAGCAGGTGGTGACTACGCTTCCTCTTGCTCTCTTGAAGAAGTATAAGTTGGAAGACAGGTCTCTGCTCTGCCTGAGCTAAGAGCCTCCAGGCATCTCCTAGGCGGGGCTTCAGGGTGAGCAGGAGGACATACTCTCCCCTGCCAGCCTCTGTCATCCCTGGAGAAAACAGCAGGTTGGAGGTGCAGGTCCTCTCTGCTCGGGAGGAGGAGCAAAGATGGACGCTTTTCTCCACCCCTGTTAAACCTTTGAATGTAAGAGGTCAAGCTGGGAGAAGGGCCAGGGGGTCCCAAAGAAGAATCGTGTTGCCTCTGCTTGCCCTTGGACTTGCCTCTGTCTGTCACGCACACAGCTGCAGAGGATCCACCTGCACACAGCACCGGTCACCTTTCTCCTCCTGGGATCCCCGGGCACCCCGCACCATCTCAGCCAGCACACAACATGTGCACAAACCCTGTCGCTCTTCGATGCTCGGCCTAACTTTCGGCTTCATCAGCAGCGGCTCCCTGGCCCTCTAACCACAATGGCCTGCTCATTGCTTCCTGAAAACATCGTGTCCTTTCAGCTCTGCTTCTTTCAGTCCTGCTTTCCTTCCCTCTAGAGCACCACACCACCCACTGTCTCCTGCCCAGGTCACTACTTCCTACCTGAAGCTGAGTGCATGGCTCCTGGGCGCCACACCTGGCTCCATCTCCCCAGTTTTGGCCTCATATGAGGTCTTCAGAAGACCAGCCTTCTGCTTTGGGCTGGGAGCTCCCCGAGGAAAAACTCAATATGTGCTCATCTTAGGTTTTTGGAAAATCTGTGAGGTCTAATTAAACAAAAGAGGGCTTGTACTTCAGCCAGGCGCCTCCTTACTATTCAGATCATGGCCGAGAGTCGAAAAGAGCTGAGCCACCGCTTGTCTACCTTGGTGTTCTCCTTTCTTCAAAGTTTCTGCATGCCAGGGTCACTTTCAGTAATATTCAGCTGATGTCACAGGCCTTACAGTGTTTGGTTTTGAAAGGGTAGTAATTTCAGGGTACACTGATTTCTATGTCTTAACGTTTTATGGTCAGGACATATAGTGGTGTATCTGTGTTGTACTCCATCCCTCCCCCTCCTGTTCCTAATGATAAGGAAAGAGGTTTGAGATACTAGGTTTAGTGTGCAATCATTTTAACACTGCACACTACAGCAAGCACTGATTATCATGTACTTCCAGGAGGTCATACTGGGTCCTCAGCAGAGCTTGGTACTAAAGAGAAGCCCACAAGATAATTTGCAGTGTCGTTTTAGGAAACGGTCACAGTGCCTCTTCCATCTCTGAGCAAGATTTTCTTCTTCTTAGTGTTTTTGCATGCTTGTCTCTGCCTAGAGAGCCTTTGCCCTCCGTGCCAGCCCCTCATTAAACCAGCAGCTCCCATCTCTCATGTTTCTGTGTAGACAGAATTGCTGGGCAGGGCCTTTTTGGATATATCTGCCCACTTTTTCATTCCAGCACTGTCAGAATTTGCTTCAAAGTCTTTGTCAGTTATTCAATGTAATATTTTTACATGTCTCTCTGTTATATTAAAGGCAGCTTGCAAGGAAGAGGATTTGAATTTTGTTTCATATCACATAGTAGATGCTCAGTAAATGCATTTGAATAAATAAGTGCCCTCTCTCCTGTCAGCACATTACTTAGAAGTTGGAGGAGTTGAGCTTATCAACTCGGTGCCTTTTCCTGTCTGCTCAGCTTCTCATCGTATCCCTGACAGGTGTCCTGAACTCACTTCCTAGGTGCTGCCTGTCTCATCTGGAGATGCCTGTTTCTCATTTCCACTGACATCACCAACATTGTGACACCATCCTGGCATTTCTGGAATCTTAAAGCACTTCAGTTTCATTCCACATTTTCCCATGTGTTTTCTTTTATTACCAAGATTAGAAAGTGCTCCTAGGAAACCACAAGCAAACACAGCAGAGGTGTGTAAGTGAAAAATGAAAACCTCCTTTCCTCTTCTCAGTGGGTCCTTCTCCTTGGAAAAATACACACTAAGCCTTTGCTTTTAAATGAAAACAGGAGCGGTAATATAATTTTAGAAAAAAAAATGAAAATGCTGTTTAGCGACTTGTTTTCCAATGAATACTTCCTGATTTTCTATTCGTGTTAGGATAGAACAACTTTGATTGTTCAGTGACTGAATATTAGCACATGGTATGCTCGTAACATTATTTAAAGTTCATTTTCTTGATGGCCAGTTGCGAGGCTTCTATTTTTTAAAATTTCAAGAAATGCTGGGATAAAATCCCCTTCTACATCTGAGTGGGTATTTCTCTGGGAGACATTCCCAAAAGTGGAGCTGTTGGATCAAATGGCATGCCATTTTGTATTTTGATAGCTCCAGCCTGATCGTCTTCTAAAAAAGCAGTCCTCATTTGCACTCCTGCCCACGGCTCTTCAGGGCATCTGAGGCCGTGAGCAGCCAGTGACAGGGCGTTATCGCTGCATTTACTCTCTGTCCAACTGGTCACAAACTTTCCTGGCTTCAGGTGCTGAGATCTGAGAGCTATCAAACAGTTGTTGTAAATCAGCACTCCCGGCCCTTATCTATGATGGTTACTAATGTTTACTTGTTTATTTTTTCCACTGGAAATGATTGTTCAATTTCAATGTCCAAATGTTCAATTTCACTTTTACTCAGTGTAGCAGTTTTCAAGAACACTTGTGATAAAATGTAAGTAACAACAACAACAAAAAAAATGTATCATCTTCACGGATCTCAAGGGTACCATTCCTGGGCATGAAGTAGTTTCCAGTGCTGAGCAATGGTCATCCCCAGCCAGATCCCACATACTTCTTATCTTGCACAACTGAAACTTTGTGCCCAGCAGACGATAACTATTCATTTTCCGATTCTTCAGCCCCTGGAAACCTCCGTTATATTTTCCATCCCTGTGAATTTGACTTCTATGATGGCTTTTCAAACAGTATGCATGCACACTTTTAGAGAGTTGCATATTTCCCCAGAATTTTAGCTTGCCTCTTCATTTAATAAGGTCTCTCTATGATGTAGAAGATGCACATACTTTGAAGCTTTCCAGTTTTTTTAAAAATAATTCTTTTGAAGCTCACTTTTTAAATGTTTGTTTATTTACTCATTCATTTATTGGACAGGTCTCAGTAAGCTATCCAGACTGACTTGAACTTGTGATCTTTTTGCCTCAGCCTCCCAGAATGCCAGGATTACAGGCATGTGCCACCACGCCTGGCTGGAAGCTTCGTATTCTCATGTCAGTAAATGTGGATACTGTGTGATATTGCTCGCCTCATGCTGTTCTTTGTTTCAAGCCTTTTCTTACCCACAGGTGGGAGTGGAATGGATTAAATGGTGTGATATGTGTGTGGCATGAGGATCGAACCCAAGATCTTTGCACTGAGCTAAACCCCCAGACTTTCTTAAATGTTTTATCTTGAGATAGGGTCATGCTAAACCATTAAATTTCCCAGACTGGGCTCAAACTTGAAATCCTCCTGCCTCAGCTTCCTGAGCTGCTGAGATTACAGACACATACCACCACACTCAGCTTCCCCTTCTCATCAAGTGCTTTGTCCCATCAATGATCTCTTCCTCATTTATGAATATTTCACATATTGTGTACAAGCCTTACCGCCTCTTTTCCCTCCTCCTAACCGAATAATTAAATGGGATGCCTAAAGCCAGGGTCACTCAGCTCCTTAGACTCATTGATTTTTCTTGATCTGCAGCCTGCCACACTCAGTTGTAGCTTGGGACAGTGTCAGAGCACCACTTCTGCTGGAAAAGTCCAGCTCGACTTCCTGTCACTGTACATTTTTTGGTTCCCCTCTTTTTCTTACTCCTGACTCGGTTCATCCACTCAACATGCCTTTATTGAGCATCTAGTATGTAGCACAACTGTAGTAGGTGCTGGTGACAGAGTGGTGAGCAGCACAGGCATTGGCATTTGTCTACTGGCCCCTTTCACTTATAAGACAACAGACATCAGTCATGCAGTCAGCTGCCTGCTCTATGCCCATGTGTGCATGTATTTTCATTTACCTACAGAGTGTTGTAAAGCGTGTAGTGAGGAAAAAGCTCGGGCAAGGGAAGCCAGATCTAGGAAGGACAGTTTGAGGAAGTGATATTTAAGTTGAGATCTGCAAGATAAATAAGTGTTAACTGGGTGAGGAGTGCTGATGATTGGAGAGGTGGCTTCTAGGAAAAGGAAGGAAAACGGAAGTGTCTACAGTGAGAGGGAGCTTGGCAATCTCAGGAAACCTAGAGACCAGCGTGGCTGGAGTGCAGTAGACAGGAGAGGTCAAAGCCATGGACCACAGGCTCGATCGTGCAGGGTCTTGTGGGGAAAGCGGACAGCATTTGGGACTTACTCCCGTGAGCAGTGGACAGCTATTGAAAGCTGCGCTTCCTTCCTGACTGCTCATTGGGGCTGTGCCTCATACCTGGATCTTTGGCCCTCTGCCCTTTTGCCTACCTGGTGACTGGGCTAAGTAATCACCCCTCTGTGGTAGACTGCTAAAACCTGACAGCCCATGGATTCCTGTGCTTTTCCCAGCTACCTACTAGGAGCATCCTCTGGGATGCCACACCGGCATCTCACATGAAAATAATGACCTTGGTTTTGTTTTTAAAAATCCTTCCTGTTTGTTATCTTGGCCAGCTCCACTGGCTTTCCATCTATGAAGAATGAAATGCTGGGGTCTCCTTGACTCTCCCCTTCATTCCAAGGATACAGCAAGGACCAACTCCAAAGGAACTTGGATTCTAGCTGAGCAACTTAGAGTCAACACAGAACACTTAAGAAGGGTTTGGATTTTAACTTTCCTGGTAGCAGCTTTCCAGTCTTTAAAGTCATCAATACCTTCCTTATATGGAGAAAGGAGAAAATGGGAAAACACCATTGGAAGCTCCCAGCACAATGCAAATGACCAATTTGTCCCTTCTTTCATCTTACAGACATAACCAAGGTCCTGAATCTCATAACTTTCCATCAGTCTTTAAAGTCCTTTCACCTCACAGGGACCACTACAATACAACACACTGTCTTTAAAAGAAGTGCTTAGTGTACACATGAACACAGAAGTCATGTAAAAAATTTTTTTCCTATGTGAAATAAGAAACATCCCAGTGGACTTCAGCTAGCTTTGCAGTGAGATCTTTTTCCCAGTTATAAAGTGCAATAAATAGTTTACCATCTGAGAGCAAAAATATTTTACCTCTGGTTAGAAACTGACAAGTACTATGAGTAAAAACAAAGCAGCCCGAAGGGGTGGATGCTGCCAGTTTTCACCAGGGACAGTCTCTTTGAGGAGGTACATTTGAGCAGGTATGAGAGGTGGGGACAAACTCGGCCAGGCAGGGAGAGCTGCAGATGCAAAAGACCCATGCTTGAGGAGCATCAGAGAGATGAGCAGCTGGATCGCATCCAGTGACAGGTTGATAGTCAGAAGAGGAGGCCAGATACTGTGCCTTCAGGAGCAGAGGTAGGTTTGGGTCAGTTCTAGGAGTGATGAGAAACCACTGCAGGGTTTTGGTGGGGAATGAACAACATCTGCTGTAGAGCTCATAGCATTCTCCTGGTTGCAGCATGAAAAATTGAATGCATGGAGAAGAAAGCAAGCAATTTAAGTCGTCTTCACAGGCTCTTGTCCACCTCCATCAGCCTGCCCCTCTCACACTGCTGCTTGGACCCGCCTGGTCCATGCCAGGCCTGGGTTATTCCTGTGGTTTCACGAATGATCTTTCTGCCTCCTGCCGAGTTGATCTGGCTGCCCGAATCTAAACAATCTGGAGCAGGAAGGGTGCTGAAGGCTCAGCTGCTCTGTCCCCACAGGAATCAAGTACAGCTTCTTTTACTGTGTTTTTAAGGCCTTGTTGGGCTTCCAATCTTATCTCCCACTGCCGCCTTTCAAGCTGGAATCACGGTGAATGATTTATTTTAGTCTCTTTCCTCTTTGATGGGACAAACTAGCTGACACCCAGAATTTAAGGAAAGGTTTATTTTGGCTCACAGTGTGTAGAGGTTTCAGCCCATAGTGTGCTGATTCCAAGGAAGTGTGTCATGGTAGACGGGTATGGGGGGAAGAGAGCTGCATGGCAGACAGGAAGCAGGAGGTCAAGGAAGGAGCCAGGAGATAAATCTTCCTAGGCCTGTTTCTTCCACAGGGACCCAGTTCTTCTGACCAAACCCCACCTTATAGTATAGTAGTGTAGTGTCCCGTAATTTAATTGCCCTCTAAACACCCTGTCTATGAGCAGATGAGGCTCTTGGGGGGTGCTTGGATATAAACCATAAGCTTAACCATAATATCATGCATATTTCTTGCCCTGCCATTGTCACCCTTGTGCTCAAGCTCATTCTCTTCCTGTAAAGCCTTCTCTTGTTGTTCTTCATCTCTGCAAGACCAAATTTCTCTTGATCGCCGCAGGCAAAAGGGATTCTTCCTATCCTTCAACTCTTACACTTTCCAAGTGATGCTGTCATCCTCTACCCAAATCACAATTACATTATAATTTTGCCACCCTCATTACCCTGCAATTCGCTAGAGGTCAGGGCCCAAGGACTTTCCACCCACAGTGCCTAGCCCTATGGTCCTAGTGAGCACCTGACGGATATTTGTTGAATGAATGAATCCCTCGCTCCACAGGATTTGAACAGTCTGCTTAGAGAGAGAAAAAAACCACATTTCAAAGTCACCCAAGTGAGTGTGTTAAACAGAATATAACGGAGGGATAAATCCTGTGGCACAGCTTCTGGGAGCAGTAGGGATTCAGAGGGAAGGTCAGTAGCCGGTGGATTCATTAGTTACAGAAAAGCAAGTAACTGTGAATGCTTCTGGGTTATTTACCAAGTTCCAGGCTCTAGGCTGTGTGCTTTTAACACACTTTATCACTCTTTGCTGCAACTATTCTATGCTGCAAGCACTTGATACTCATGCAACTCATCTACAGATGTGGAAATTGAGGAAGTAAGGTAAAGAGATTTTCTAGAAGTACAGCGTACATGGTTGATCGGTCTATGCCCATCACTCCAATATTCTGCCATTAAGACCAAAGTAAAGGCTCCACTAGAGAAACAGGGCTTGTTTTCTTCCCCATCTCATTCCCAACTGGATTTGAAGTAGCCAAACAAGAGCCAAACTGTGCTTGTGGTGACCCAGACTTGAGGATGGGGCTGGTGTTCCAAAGGCAGCTGTAATGATGGATCCATTGTGTCGACTTGAGAAGTTTAGAAGCTTAACTAAGTGACTCAGCAGGAGTCCAGGGGCCCCACTTTGTAAACATCCTCATCCTGTGCAAGAGGAGGGAACAGAAATGGTGTGAGTGCTACCTTGCAGGTGGGTAGCCTACTTACAACCTAAGGGAGGAAAAAGGTTTGCTCCTGCTTTTACGTTGTTGCTTTGGTGTCTTCTGCTGCAGTGAAGTGGTGCCCCTGTGCAATGCTACCCTGCCTTGGAGCCAGCTTGAAACCTCCACAAACTCTGAGCTAAATAAATCTTTCCGTCCTTGAGTTTGGGCATTGTGTATTGTTTTCCTGGCAAGGAAAGAACTGAAGTAACTGAAACAACAGCTGTTGTGGGCCCCAAGACAGACCTGTTCCTGGACAGAAGCAGAGTGAGCTGGGCCAAGTGGAGCTCGTGTGTTAAGGACTAGTTGGTTGGGTAAGTGGAGGCTGGGTAAAAGGCACTGAATGTTAAGGAGAATTGTTGGATCTTGGTGTTCTTGAACACAAGAAGAAATTGAAACATTCACGAGCAGGGTCAAGACATAGCTTCATGTCAAAAAAGCACTTATTTGGAAAGACTTTGCCCTAGTAGATAAATGGAAGCGAGAGTCCCTGAGAAAGCTCTTGCTTCCTACGAGTTACCAAGCTTTTGGAAGAAGTAACTGGTGGGATACAGACACCGTGGAAACTGAGGCGAGAAACAAGTTTTCATGGTCGACCAGAGAAGACTTCTTAAAGGCTGTGACTTTCAAACCAGGCCTTGAAGAGAGGAGATAGAAAGAACAGAAGATGCTACCCACTTTGGGAGAGGAGGCATTTAGAGAGGGCCATCCTGGTAATCACCAGAGCTAAGGCGCAGTCTGAACTCCCAAGATTTCTGGGGGACAGATACACTTGAGGCCGCAAGGCTGCCTCACAAGCAGCCATCCGTGGGGAAGAGACACAGAGGTCTTGGTGACCTGCAAGACGAATGTGAGCACGAACCTCTAAGTGTGAAAGGAACACAGGTAACCTTCAGCCTTGCACACCCAGCTCCCAGGCATGCAAGTGTGCTGGGGAGCATATTCTAGACCTAGTAGTTCACAGCTGGGTGGTGATTTTAACCCCAAGGGATGAGTAATGATGTCTAGAGGCATTCAGTTATGCCAGCTGGGAAGGGTGCTGGTGGCGCCTAATAGGAAGAATTCAGGAATTTTGTTGCACATCTCAGAGTGTAGGGAATCATCCCTCCTCCTCCTCCTCCTCCCCAAGGGATTACCTCGGTAGTGGCTTGAGAGGCCCTGCTCTAGTGGAGGAAGCAACCCAAGCACAGTTAGCAGAGGGAACGGTTTGTCACCCACTGTCACCAGGAGTAACTGAAGAGCCTGGGAGATTTAGGAACCTGAGCAGTGTCTTAGGGAAGCAGGGAGGACTGATCCATTCAGAGTGATTGCCTGTTTCCAGCCTTATTCACCTCTCCCACTGCATCCGCAACCCAGGCAGCCTGAGGGCTGGGTGCTAAGGAAGTCAGGGTGAGCAGCACTTCTGTAAAATAGGAACTGCTCTCAGAGCTGTGCATGGACTGTCACATTTAATTGTCACATCCTTTCTTCTTTTTCCCTTTTTTTTTTCCATACTGGGGACTGACCCCACGGCCTTCTTCACACTTCCAACTCTTTATTTTTTTGTTCTGAGACAGGTTCTCACTAAGTTGCTAGGTTGCCCTAGCTAGATATGAACGTGTGACATTCCTGCCTCCAGAATGCTTGGATTAGAGGCATGGGCCCTATACCTGGCTTATATCCATTCTTTAAGTGGAAAGACTGAGACACAGGGAAGTAGGTAAATAATTCGCCTAAGATCTGAAAACTCAGTAAGTGGCAAAGCCCGAATCTGAGCCCAGGGAACCACTGAACAATGCTGTTGTGCTGCATGGGAAAGAGGGGTATTGTAAGAGACAGACCCGACTCAAACCCCTGCTTTACCACTTACTAGCTGTGCTGGTGTGAGCATGGCACTTAAACTCTCTGAGCCACGGTGTCTTTATCTTGCATGACAGGGACAAAATAATTAGATAACAAACACTTTCTTGGTTCTGCACATGGCTCAGAGATGTTGAACGACCTGCTCAGGGTCACACAGCTAAGAAGTAGAGTCGGACTTGAAACCTATGTCTGTCTGATATTACAGCACCAGTTTTTAATGAAAGCTATTTTTAACAAAGCTATTACATTTACAAGTGCGTGGTGAGGATAGCATGACACAGCCTCTAAAAATGGCTTGGAACATAGTAAGCAACTACTGATAACTGTTTAGTATTATATTAGTAATCACAGTAATTATCCTTATGCCCAGGTTGCTCAGGTGTGCGGAAAATGATGCAGAATTCTAGCCAGAAAGAACAAGATCAGCAGAAAATGCCCGGTGGAGTACTGTGTGTGTGGATCCCAGCCCCTCAGCCAGCTGTTTGCAACCCTGAGCTTCTGTCCCCCGGGGTGAGTGTTGTCTCTTTGGATTCATTGGTCCTGCTGTCTGCATAGCCTACTATTCATAGACCTGGCAGTGGGAGGAGCGGAGACATGGTGAGGCTAATTTCATGTCAAGGTTCCACAGCCATGCATTTTACAGGCTAGTCGTAAGTTTAAAAAATGAATGCAGAGCCTTGTGCAAAACCAGGGGGATCACTGCATGCTCCCATGCTACCCTGCAAAGAGAACCACAGCTCACCCAAGGGCTTGCTCCACCTAGGAAGGATTTCATCCTGAAACAATCGCCAGAGTTCACGGTAGGGAACAGTGTGTGAGTCCTTTGCAGAGTTTGGCTCTGCCTAGCCATCATGAAGGGTGGCAGGCTGGCAGAACACAAGATCTGCATGTGATAGATTCTTAAACATGGAATCCCAGTCAGAGGACTATCGGACAGGTAGAGACCAGAGCACTGCTTGGGCTGCAGGTGATGAAGCTGGGTACCGAGGGCAGTGGGAGCCCACTGACTACCTCACTGGTGGATAGTGGTCAGAGGAATTTTCATAGGGAGGGAATATTTGAGCTGGATGTTGGAGGATGAGTAAGAGTTTGTCAAGTGGAGAAACAGGGAGCATATTTAGGCCAGAGAGAACAATAGTACTGCAGGGCATTCCTAGAATGCTTCGTGGCTGGTTGTTGCAGAAACTTGGGGAAAGAGAAGTTTAGAGTGAGAGAGATGGTGCTGCAAGCGTGGCTTGGAGTCTACCTCTGCAGGGCCTTTAGCTCACCAAAGTTCTGGACAGTGTGGTGCAACGCTGTGGGTTTCTGCTGACACAATATGAGGACAAGCAGCCTAGGGATTGGGGAAATCAAAGCTGATTTAGAATCTGAGTTTCACTAGTCTGTGGTTCTGAAGTTACTTTGCCTCTCTGAGCCTCGGCATCCAGGTCTGTATGATGACATATTGTCCACCTCACAGCTGCGACATTAGTGGATGGAAGAACGAAAGGATGAAGTCCTTATAGGCTCACAGCACAGCCCGACGGGGGGAATGCTAATGCGCCTTCACTCCTAGACCAGGTGGGGGAGGTCCTTGCCAGGCAGTGTTTCAGTCAGATATTTGATTTGCATATTTGTAAAGAACTACAAGAGTTCAAAAGTTCCCAGTACAAATGAATGATGTTTAAGAAGACAGAAATGTTAATTATCCTGATTTGACTATCATTCACTGTATATGTGCCCACCCTTTTGGTGGTTTTAGTCAATCAGAATTCAAAGAAACAGTGATACCATCTCTTTGCAAGGCTTGTGCAGAGCTGAGGCTTCCTATCAACTAGTGAGCTGCATCCTTGGCCTGTGTGAAAGATAGTAGAACAGAGAACATGGCCCAAGGAAGAGTCTTGCTGGAAAATTACTGAACTATTTCATACTTCATCAAGTTCCATTTTCTAAAATTTCAGTATAGTATTTTGAGTCTTGGATAAGAGATCCTGAACTTATGTGTTTCAGAGAAGGCATTCAGAAATGAAAGAGGAAATGTCTATAAAAGAAGTCAGCTTTGCCTTTTTACTTCTAGATTCTTCTACTGTGGTGAATGTTATTTTCACAACTCGCACAGAGATTGAGTCATTGATGGATTGTGGTGCTGGGAATTGAACTCAGGACTTCGGTACTGAACCCCATCCCCAACACCTTTTTATTTTATTGTTTTTTAAACTACTAAATTGATAAGTAGTTCATACTGAGTTTGAACTTTGTCATCCTCCTGCCTCAGCCTCCCAGAGCACTGGTATTACAGGTACGTACTACCACACCTGGCTGAGAGGTATTTGGTATCCTCATTTCACATAGAGTAGCCTGCAGGAACACACCCAGAGAGGACAGTGGATTCCACTATTTGATTTAATCGGGGCATGTTACCTCAAGTCAAAGGAACTTAGAGAACTAATTAGGAAACAACAAAAACAGTATCAGTGTGGTTAAACAATTCCATCACCAAAACAGAGTGGAATCTCTGATGTCAAAATTTCCACATATTATGAAGATATTCAAGACCCCTGCTCTTCCTTTCTGAATCCTGTTATGGAGCATCCTGAATCCCAGTGGCCCTCAGCAGGATGCTCCACTTCTCCCGGGGACCAGAGCTGGGCCACACTGAGCCCTCCTGAGCTCCATCTTCTCCCCATCTTGATTGTTCTGCAAGACAGAACTGGGAAATGATCCTAGATTTTACAATACAGTTATTTTCCTTTTCATCCCACTTTCCAAAATCCAACCCATTTGTCACTGGCCTGGTGCACCCTGCCCCGCCTCTCCCTCTGGGAGAATTAACCGCCTGCTTACCACCTCCATTCCAGTGGTGCCTCCATGGTGCTGCTTTCAGAGCTGACCTGCACGGTGCTGGCTGGCATGTTATTTTCTCTTGCTGTGACCTCTACACACAAAGTCAAGGACTCTGCCTTCTGTGTCCATTTTTCCACTGCCATGCCTGGCACATACTCTATATGTGATTTTTTAAAGCTAAATTGAATAATGCAATGGAAAGGAAGAGACTGTGCTTTCCAAAATAATTGATAGAAAGATAAGGAGTTATGGCTTCTCCGTGGCCAACTTTTCTTTATTGTGAGGAGCTTCCTTGAGCAAGGGACTAGGGGTTGGGCTTTGAGAACCATTCAGACTTTGCCCTTATTGCTTATAACAGTGGGCTTTGGAGCCAAACAGCCTGGGTTTTTCTTAACTTGGCCACGCTGTGGGTTTCCATCTGTAAACCAGGGTAATAGTGATGACCCGTAATTGAAAAGCTTTATCTTGAGAACCAGTGGGAAGATCTATATCTAGCACTTAATGCGGTTCTGGCACAGAGAACAGGGGATAAACATCAGCTGGAGAGCTCACAGTTAAGTTAGATTGAAATGACCTGAGACTCAAGAGACTTTATGGAGCAAATTTTGCTTTCTTAATAACATCTGCACACTCACCTTTGGGAGGGATCTTAGGCCGGTGGGTAGAGTCTTTGATGAGATGTGCAAGGGTGAGACTTTGATGTCAGAGGTGTGACGCGGGAGAATGAATGGGTGGTTGAAATGCTTTCTAAAGGGCTGGGACCAGCTAACTCTGTACTTCTTGTGGGAGACCTAAGGGCAGTGGCTAGAGCCCTTGCGGGGGTGCCACAATAAAAAGAATGGGTAAGGGAAAGGAAAGAGAGGGAATGGGATTTCTAGCACCAGGGACAGAGCTTTGGCAAGGAAGCTGCATTTTTAAAGCACAGATTTTGATCAAGTTTTCTGTACAGTGCAACCCTCTCATTGGTTTTCCCCTGAGAAACTGCAGAGCCCTTTGTTCTCCTTGCAGCTGGAGTTGTTTGATTTCTTTGGAAATGTGGGGTCTGTATTCAAGGTCGCTGGTGAGAGGAATGATGTCCCAAGTCACATCCAGGCTAACTACAGCCCCATGGAGAGGTTCCATGCAAAGAGCACATGGCACCCTGAGACAAAAGAGGCAAACCCAGCTGAAGCAGGGGGATCACAGGTGTGAGCCCCATCTGGGCACTTTAGCAACCTAGTGAGACCCATTTTATCTTGAGATCAAAATAAAAAATATGAAAAGGACTAGGAATGTGCAGAGACCTTGGGTTCAAACCTGAATACAAAAGAAAAAACAAAGGCATCCAAGAAGCTGGAGAGGACTGATATGTTGCAATTGCTAAATGCAGAGTCAAACATACAACAGGACAGACTTTTGTCTGCCTGTCTGGGGTGCCAGCACCTAGATAAGCTGTCTAACACAAACCCCTCCAAATTCTGGGGGAGTCACGGTCATCTCTCACATGATAACCAATAATGCAGCTTCCAGCTGAGTAAGTAAGAAATGCAACCCCTGCCTCTGGTGTTGGCATGCATGGTGATCTGTGCTTGAAAGACCAAAAAGAACCAAAGTATGTGGCATCAGAGAATCTCAAGATGCCTCAGTGATCTTATGCTGTATGCAATGGATCAAGCACTTGAAGCTCTGGCTCGAATTTGAATCCAGGGCTCTCATCCTTACTTTTTCAAGACACACTTCAGTTTGTGCATTTTTACCCTTACTATCTGCCAGGCACGGCTTTACATTCTGGGCTTGCCCTGTTTCTTTATATCTTCCCTGAAAGCCAATATGTCTAGTAAAGTCGGTATCTTTATGCTGCAGAGAAGGAAAGTGAGGCTGAGAGAGATTCATTGGCTGGCACAAGGTCACACACACACGATGTAAGTAAAGGAACTGGAATTTCAACCCAGCCAGGTCTTTCGGATGTGGCAGCCTGAGACCTTAATGATTGCGTTTTCAGGTTTGAAAGGAACAGAAGATTATCCAGTTCAACCAAATCTATGCCCAGAGGGAGGAGCTTGCAACTGGAAAATGCACGGAGCTAAGAGTTTGTCCTTGCTGTGTCTGAGGCTGCTGTGTGGCCTGGCAGAAGCTGCTGACCTGCTTGGACCATACTTTCTTTTACAAGAGAAGAAAGAATGACCTGCTCAGTCTTCCTTACAACCTTGCTTTGAAGGACAACCGCATGTGAAAGCCCAGTATGAGGAGTGGAGCAGGACCAAAGCCATCCCCTTTCCTCTCCTACACAGAATGCAGTCACATTCTAGTCTCCTTTCACGGGCTGCCTAATTTCTGGCACATCTAGCCAAATGTGATTAACAAGGAAAAGTTTAATATAGAACCACTCCCTTTCCTGACTCACAGAGAAAATGAGGTAATCTCGAATATTGTACTAAAATAAAGGATTTACAAGTTGAGTTTGATATTTGGCTGCTCTGTACTAAGCATTTTCACATGCATTTTATCTCCAGTAGAACAAAACAAGACTCCCAGATGGTTCAGTGATTTTTCTTCCAGTCATACAGGAAGTACGCAGCAGAGTATGGACTGCAACCCAGCGTCACCTGCTTGGATCTGAAGGTGCTTTCCTAGGGACCAAGGGCTTAGTGTCTTAGGACACTAAGATCTATTCCGTGGAGCATTCTATTGTTCCAAAGGCAGTTGTCACAGCACCCAGGGGTGGCTCCTGACATTTCCATGTACTTCCAAGGGGGGAGTGTCTGTTTTATCGTGTGCCATGTCAAAGTCTAAAAGCTTAGCAACATCCAGCCTTAGAGGAACAAAGCCACCAGCCCCGAATCCCAGTGAAGAAAAAAAAAATAGAATATAATGCTACCACTCACTGAGGTGTGAGTTTCATAGCTTTGAGGTAAAGGAAGAAGTTTTAAAAACATTTAAAATTATGGACTGTATTGAATGCGACATTTGTTTGAAATATAAAACAATAACGTAAAATTAAGACAGGCAACAGGTTGAGGGGATATTTGTACCGATATTTGTACTCAGTGATATTGATTTATAAAGAAGTTTAAGAGGGAAAAAAAAAGATTTCAATAGATCAATGATCAAAGAAGCAAGGAATGCATTTACATAAAATGAATATTAAACATGCACCCTGGGAAACATTTATTCTGAGGAGTAAAGAATTACAGTGTAAAACAATCTCTATTATTATAACTTGTCAAAGCTCTATAGTTCTTAATATTCACTAAGAGATTAGCATTCATGAGTTTCTCCGCTCACTGAAGTCGCCTGAGGAAATGGTGCCATTTAGTAGGTATGAAAACTGAGGCCTGCACTGGTTTAGTAACTTGCTCAACTCACACAGTTTAGTTAGGGCCCAGCTGAAGTTTTAGTCCTGACAGTCTGATTCTTGTATCTCTATTATAATTAGAAAATTAGCAAAACTAAAAATATTTAAAGAATATTGAGAAACCTGGTACTTGTATCTCTATAAACTGGGGCAACCTTTTGGGAAAGCAATATAGCAAGAGCCATAAAAATATACCTTTTGTACTCGAAAGCTTACTTGCTGGACTGAAGATAAAGGAAAAAATGCCACAGAAGCAGGGTCCAAATCATAGGTCGTTATGGACTGAAATGAGATCTAGCCAGTGATGTCCAGTGTAAACACAAACCCAAACCACATATATAATTTTCAATTTTACCGGGGCAATACCAAAAAGGATAAAAGGAAATGTGAAATCAATTTCAATAACTAACTTAATCCAGTACCTCCAAGTAGTATTTCTATATGAAGAGTATATATACACATTTACATTCTTTGTCTTCTAGCAAGTCTTAGAAACATGGCATGCACTTTACACTCACAGGACTTCTCAATCCAGGCTAGTGTTCCCTGCCCACCTGCTGCAACTGGGTTACCATACCGCATGGCACAGGTCTGCAGTGACAGAGGATGGGACATGGACTTTAACACCCAGTGGTGTTGAGAGTGGTTTAGGAAACTGAGGCATATCAGTCTCTGGAATCATACAAAGCCATTACTAGTTAGAAATAGTAAAGGCCTTAAAGAAAGGCATAGAATGATTATACTATGTTAAATATAAAAATCTGGGAATACATAATATTCATCTACTAGGTATTTAAAATGTGTTCCTGGGGAAGCCACAACTGAAAGATAATATGCAAACACTAAACTAGTTGTGTTAACATTCCAGGATCATTTCAGTGCCATATTTTCATTCCAATAGGCATTCAACATTTGTTCTTATTAGGAAAAATTTTTAAACATAAAAGGATAAGAAAGAGATCTTTCTTTTAATGCAAATATTTGGAGATGGACTTTAAATGAAGTATTTATGTACAAATATGTCCTAATAAAGCCACCTATTTATCATATGGGTTTACTCATATGTTAGAATGGTGATAAATCATTAAGAATTTTTTGTTACTGGTGTTTCTTGTTTATGTCAATATTCTTAAATTTGCTGTTACATAAAAAATTCACAAATTTTTGAATAACACTGAGGCAACATAATGATAGGCTCATCCTTTATTCTTAACATATTTAATGTATATAATATATATTTATATATAATGCTTTCTTTTCTTTGCGCTATGAGCTATGTTGAAAATAGACTCCAAGATATTCACTTATTCTATGGATTTCTAAAGGTCATAACTGATGAATAAAATCTTACCTATTTCAGAAAAATGAAAAATATTCGTTCCAGTTTTCATCAACACACCTAACAGAATTAGAGAAGCAGAAACAGATGGGTTGGATAGAAGATGACTGAGTCACTGGTGGCTGTGGTCTTGAACTTGTCAGCACTTTAAGAGATGGGCTGGGTATGGGGTCAGAAGAACTGATTCTGGCTCCTGATACCATTACAAGAAGCTGTGCATTGGTTTCCATATCTGGAAAACTGGAGATCGTATCAGCATCATGGCGATTGAGGAATAAATGGGAATTGGATTCTCAGAGGTCATTAAGTGCAACTGACTTTTTGAAGATGGGGGACACAGGTCCAGGGGTAAAAACAGGCCTGTAGTGCAGCTGTCTGGGCTGAGTAGTTCTTTGAGCTTGAAGACCCAGAGCCCAGGCTCAGGAGTCCAAGTGCTGACTCCGGGGGAGTGCAGGCAGCTTCTGACAGGGACACCTTGAGCAAGTCACATACATTCCGTCTCAGTTTGCACACCTGGCAGAGGGAGACCGTCATTACGTCTAATTCAAGATTGGCTGCGGGGTTTAAAAAGTCGAACTAAAGTTTCGCAGCTGGCTCATCGCAGTTCTTTCGTGACTGGTACCTATTACGAGCAGTAGCCATTGGTACTTAGGATGCTTGCAGTGTCTCTAAACCAATCCATGCCATCCTCTTTCTTGTAGAGTCGACATAGATATGTTCTTCATCAATCGTTTGAGTCTTTCTTCCAGTTTAAATGCTGAGGGATTAAATTTCTGCATTGCATAGAAACCGGAAGTTGGGGAAGGCGACACCGCGTCACCACTAGAGGGCGTGTCGGCGAAAGGCAGGTTCTGCTGGGGGAGGGGGATGGTGGCCCAAAGAAAAGGAAGAAGCAAAGGGCTCCTGGGAGGTGGGGAGTGTGGTCCTGCTGCAGGAGAGCTTGCCAAGAGACAGAAGGCCGACTGCTCACTGCTCAAGACACTCCTTTGCTGTGCGTTAGGCTCTGTGCAGTCTCATTATTAGATCCTGACTCTAGAAAATAGGAATAATAATAATTAATAATAATAAAACTCCTTTACAAGAGTTTTTGTGAGCATGTGAAGGGATACTGTGTGTAAGACTTTTAAACAGAGAGTGGTCATTAAGATGATGATGACGACGACGATGATGATTATACCACTTTAATTTCCAGCGAGGCTGTTTGATGGATATGGGAGATCTCGGACCCTGGCTCTGTGACGGACCAAGTCACTTTGTCTTTTGCTACTGCGTTTCTCATCTGGCAAGTGGAACAGATTTCTCCTATAGATTTTGTGAGGATTCAGTAAACTTTTCCAAGTAGCGTGCTTAGCCCTCTGCTGGGCACACAGACCTTAGTAAGCATTAATCCACAATGGTGAAGTGGGCTGTGGATCTTCATAGTTAAAGCCCTTGACATTTCTGCACATAGATTTTACTGTGGAACCGTCTGTGACAAAAGAGATGCATCAGAAACCTAGGCCTTGATGGCCTCCTCTCTGTGTCTTTGGAATATGCCATTTTCTTAATTCCACGCTGTATAAAGCATCGCAGCTTCTAAATTCATTGATGGTGTCTGCTGGCGATGAAATGTCAGAGCACTTGGATCCAACTGTCCCACTGCCGCTCTCCTGCTTTCCCTGGGTGAATGGTAACATTTTCAAACGGATAAAAATCTCTTGGCAACATCGCTCTCCTCCCCCAGAGCAGATTTATAACAGAGTGGCTGGCATTTCCACATGCTCTGAATTTGTCAGTGTCAGATTCATATACGTTCTTAGGTCTCTGCACATAGATAGGCATCATTTAAATCCCCAGTGAACAAAGGCTAGTTTTCTAACTTGAAGATGCTCTACAAGATCTTTGCATGTTGTCTATATTTAAATGTTTGTGTGGTTTAAAAATATGGTAATATCAAATGGTACAGAGCAGGACTGATCCACAGGCACTTTGTGTATAAAATTTTACTTATTTCCATTGGATGTATATTGTCTTCCATTTACTGATGGGGAAACTAAGGCTCAATAAAGGCGAGTGACTTGTTTAAAGTAAACACACCCACACCCATCACATCAGTGGTAAGAATAGGTCAAAAACCATTTCTAAGTCCATGCTTGATGTTCCCGCCATTTCACTACAGCTGATTCTGCAGAATAACATACGTTCATTCATTCCAAAATTAGTTACTGTGCACCACAGTGTAGCAGTGTGCTACATTCTGGTTACCTAGCCCAGAAAAAAACATTATTTTTTGTCTTTGCTTCTAGTCGGTGAGCAACACCGATCAATACTGAGACGTGTAGGAAAGGTTCAAAATGCAGGGAGAAATGAGAGCTCGGTTTCCCTACAAGACCAGGCTGTCTCCAGGGCAGGCTTTTGGGAAAGGACGGAGAAGAAGACTGGTGCAGTAAGCTCTCACAATTCCTTTCAGGCCTGCAGTTGTTTTCCTATAGGGTTCGTGGTTTTGTGGTTAACATCACTACTGAAGAACAAGAGGAGATCAAGTGGCTATGGGGCAGCAAGACAGGGGACAAGGGATTCTCAGAGTCTTCCAAGATGCCTACCCAATCAATGACAGCAGAGAGTCATCTCCCTCAGATCTGTAGTGGGGTCAATGGAAAAATTAAAATATCTTTCTATTGCTGCTGTTATTCTTAAAGTGATATTACTACCTATCATTAGCTGTGCAATTTCTATGTGTCAACCACTGTACTATATTTCTTATCTGCTCAAGAAAGCTATTGAAT